AAGACTGGGCAGGCAATGCAAAATACAGCCAATGAAAAGCAGAGACGCCATTTGATACACTAAGAGAAAACACAATAAGTGTCCGGTGCCCAAGACTGTTCAACAGCCTCCCACCAGGCATAAGGTAAATTACTAATAGACACCTGGCTGCCTTCAAGAGGGAACTGGACATATACTTCAAGTCTCTGCTGGATCAGCCGGGATGTGCTTCGTTTGTTGGACTACGTACGGCCAGCAGTAACAGCCTGGTTAATCAGACCTTGATCCACCGGGGGGCCTGGTCGAGGACCGGGCCGCAGGGGCGTTGACCCCCAGAATACCCTCCAGGTAGATTCCAGGTAGGTAGGTGCAGAATTGCTAAGTTTGGCCTATAAAGCGAGGCCGTCCTTCGCAGAATCAGAGAGAAAATTGTTTGAAGAATATCTCTGCTAAATTCAATCTGAGCATAACGAAAAATAATGTATATCATTTTTTAATGTATTATTAAATATATTTCAACTGACTTATGATATAAGAACATAAGAACATAAGAACGAAGGAACACTGCAGAAGGCCTACTGGCCCATGCGAGGCAGGTCCAAGTCTCCTACCGGCTTAAGCCAATGCACCCAACCTAGTCAGGTCAGGTCACATTGACTTAAGGGAGGAACACGGCAACCGACCTGGTAGCACAAGCTATCAGGTCTAACTCACACCCACCCACATCTACTCATGTATTTATCCAACCTATTTTTAAAGCTACACAACGTTCTGGCCTCTATAACGGTACTTGGGAGTTTGTTCCACTCATCCACAACTCTATTACCAAACCAGTACTTTCCTATATCCTTCCTGAATCTGAATTTTTCCAACTTAAAACCATTGCTGCGAGTCCTGTCTAGGCTAGATATTTTCAGCACACTATTTACATCCCCTTTATTTATTCCTGTCTTCCATTTATACACCTCAATCATATCCCCCCTAATTCTACGTCTTTCTAGAGAGTGCAGTTTCAGGGCCCTTAGTCTATCCTCATAGGGAAGGTTTCTGATACATGGGATCAACTTTGTCATCCTCCTTTGTACATTTTCCAGAGAATTTATATCCATTCTGTAATACGGTGACCAAAACTGTGCAGCATAATCTAAATGAGGCCTAACCAAGGATGTATAGAGTTGAAGAACAACCTGAGGACTCCTATTATTTATGCTTCTTGATATGAAGCCAAGGATTCTATTAGCTTTATTGCGAACACTTATGCACTGTTGTCTTGGTTTCAGATTACTGCTAACCAGAACTCCTAAATCTTTTTCGCAATCCGTAATATTAAGATCTACATTATTAATTTATATGTGTCATGGTTATTGTCCTGTCCAACATTTAGAACTTTGCATTTGTCTATATTAAACTGCATCTGCCACTTCTCCGACCACTGCATCAGTCTATTCAAATCTTCCTGGAGTGCTCGAATGTCCTCGTCAGAATGAATTCGACGGCCTATTTTGGTGTCATCGGCAAACTTGCCGATGTCGCTCTTTATGCCCTCATCTATGTCGTTTATGTAGATTGTGAACAGCAGGGGGCCCAACACTGACCCCTGTGGAACACCGCTCGTGACGCTTCCCCACTCTGATTTCTCCCCATTTATGCAAACTCTCTGCTGCCTATTTGTCAACCATGCCTCTATCCAGGAAAAAAATTTCTCCTCCTATTCCATGTGCTTTAATTTCCTCAATAGTCTCTGATGTGGGACCCTGTCAAAAGCCTTACTGAAGTCCATATACACAATATCATATTCATTACCATGATCTACCTCCTCAAATACCTTAGTGAAAAAAGTTAATAAATTCGTAAGGCAGGAACGCCCCTTTGTAAAACCATGCTGAGATTCGTTGATTAATTTATGCATTTCAAGGTGGCTACGAACTGCCTCGGCAATTATTGATTCCATAAATTTTCCCACTATGGAGGTTAGGCTTATTGGTCTATAGTTCGAAGCTAAGGATCTGTCACCTGTTTTGAAAATAGGTATCACATTTGCCATTTTCCACTTATCTGGCACCATGCACATTTTGTAGTGATATGTTGAAAAGATTAGCCACAGGTGTGCTAAGCTCCTCTTTACATTCCTTTAGAACCCTTGCATACAGTTCATCAGGGCCTGGGGATTTGTTAGGTTTTAATTTATCTATTTGCCTAAGGACCATGTCACTTGTGACCCTAATAGTGCACAGTTTATTATCGTCCTGTTCTACATAATTTATCATTACTGGAATATCGCTGGTATCCTCCTGTGTAAAAACTGAGAGGAAGTATGTGTTTAAAAATTCTACACATTTCCTTATCACTGTCAGTGAGCTGACCCGAGGAACTTTTGAGTGGGCCTATCTTGTCCCTGATCTTACTTCTGTATACCTGAAAGAATCCTTTTGGGTTAGTCTTCGATTCTCTTGCAACTTTAACCTCATAATCTCTTTTTGCTTTTCTAATTCCCTTTTTTATTTCTCTCTTTAACTGAATATATCGATTTCTTAATTGCCCCTCTCCTCTTTTGATTTGCCTATATATGCCTCTCTTTTGACCAATCAGATATTTTAATCTATTGTTCATCCATTTAGGATCATTTTTGTTTGATCTGATTTCCCTATTTGGAACATAATTTGACTGAGCCGCTAGAACTATGCCCTGGAAAGCATCATATCGGCAACCATCACCACTACCTGACCCTTAGTCAGGTCATTCCAGTTCAGCCCACCTAAGTAATTTTTCAGTCCTATGAAATCAGCCAAGCGAAAGTCAGGGACGGAGACTTGATTGCCATTATTAGGGGAATTCCATGATATATTAAAACTGAGTGATTTGTGATCACTTTCCCCAAGCTCATCATTAACCTCAAGATTATTTAATTAGTGTTTCCCTACTGGCAAGAACCAAGTCAAGGAGGTTATTTCCCCTAGTTGGCTCTGTCACAAACTGTTTTAAAAACAATCCTGGATCGTATCAAGAAAGTCACCTGACTCTAAATTTCCTGTCAAATTGCTCCAGTCAATCTGTCTATAGTTGAAATCTCCCATTAGCACAATATTTTCGTATGTAGATGCCTTACGAATTTCGTCCCATAGAAGTTTACTGCACTCCCTATCAAGATTTGGGGCCCTGTAAATCACACCCAAAATTAGTTTTTCTCGGCCCTCGAGAAGCTGTAACCAAACAGATTCAGTGGCTGACGCTTCTAATTTAATATCTTGTCTAACACAACAATTTAAATTGTCTCTGACATACATCGCTACTCCACCACCTTTCCTGTTGACCCTGTCAGTGTGGAATAATTTATAGCCTTGTATGTGACATTCAGAGGGCATCTCTCTATCTTTCAGATTGAGCCAGGTCTCTGTTATAGCAATAATATCTATGTTTCCTGCACTTGCAATTAATCTTAGCTCATCTATCTTATTTCTTACACTCCTGCTATTAGTATAGTAAACCTTAAGGGAGCTAGTCCCTTGCTGCCCTCTGCTGTTCCCCTTTGTTTGCTGACCTGATCTATTGTCTTTATTTATAACTTCATGCTGAATGCCTTTTATACATTTACTGTTTCCAACCCAAGTGTTGCAACCTGCTTGTTTCCACACACACACCCATACCTCTATCTTCCATCAGTTTAAAATCATAGGCATTTCACCAATGGCCTTCTCAATCGAGTCTGCAAGTGCTACCACCCCTGCCCCAGAGAGATGTACCCCATCCCTTGCATACATATCATGTTTGCCATAAAAGTTGTTCCAGTTGTCAATGAAGGGGATTGCAAGTTCCTTGCAGTATCTGTCTAGCCAGCAATTTACATCAATTGCCCTAGACAACCATTCATTTCCTACTCCCCTTCTAGGCAAGATGCTACATATGATTGGGATCCCTCCCTTAGACTTAATGAAATCTATAGCTGACCTGTACTTATCTAGCAGCTCTTCTCTCCTACCCTTCCCAATATCATTTCCACCAGCACTGAGACAGATAATGGGCTTGTTCCCATTACCTGACATGATATTATCCAGCCTGTTGACAATGTCCCCAACACCAGCTCCAGGGAAGCACACTCTATCTCTCATCTTCTTATTCCTATTACAAAAAGCACGGTCAATATATCTTACCTGAGAGTCACCAACCACAAGAATGCGCTTACCTCCATTAGCAGGGGCAGTAGTACCCTTACCTTCACTGGCCACTGAAGTACATTCATCCTGAAGAACAGAGAAGCGATTTCCTACCTTCAGATCTTCACTCTTAACTTTCCTTACTCTGATGCGCATCCCATTATATGGGAATCAGAATCAGAGAGAAAATTGTTTGAAGAATATCTCTGCTAAATTCAATCTGAGCATTATTATTATTATTAAAGATTAGCCGGTAGTCTCCCGGCCCGGGCCTTTTCCAAGTGGTGGCCCGGCCTTGGCTCCCTCTTTAGGGAGTGTCTGAGACCTAAATCTCCCATGGGAGGAGGCACAAGTACCTCCTCATCTTTGGGACCAACTGTCCCCAGGCCTAGCCACAAGCTAGGCCTCTCTGGTCTGCCATCCCCGCCCCAAGGGGGCAAATGGGAATGACAGTCTTATGAGCTAAAGGCTCGGGCTCAGGCACCTACCCTACCCTAGAAGGGTTAGGCATGGTATCGATCTAATTAAGGGAGATTACGTTAGCGATTATTGAAATTCAAAACACAAAAATATTTTGTACACTGCAGAAAATAAAATTAATAAAAGATATTCTTATCTTGAGAATTTGGGTTTGAACATTTTTAAATTATATTTTTTCCTTATCCGTTTCTTATCAATGTCAGCAAAATGTACATAACGTAACAGGTCTTAGCAGCAGAAGCTAGGATACAGTGCTTAGAAGAGAAACTGCAAAGCCTGAAACAGATTAGAGAGACAAATGACAATTCAGATGTGACATCAGGAAATTCAATGTCAGGCGCAGACAAGGGGATGGTAAGCAACAACGGAGACATGCCGTTGCTTAATTTATTATTTCATTAAATTGTTTAAGAATAAGGGAGTCGAGGGAAGCAGACGAGCAGCGAGGAGTTCCAGACACAGTGCAACAACGCACAATACGTATCCACCAACAACAATCGTAAATAAAACCTGCAATACGAAAAGAAAATTTTAGAAATGAGAGGAAAAGGTTATATATTTCATTTTTAATTTAAATTCCACTTAGCTTGTGTGAACAATATATAAGCAATACCATACCCATAGATGATGGATTGTGAGAGTGCTGCTGATGAAGATCTTGGTGGGTAAGTTGAGACAGGTGGTGGAATTAGGTACCATTTCTTTCTGCCAGTGGTCATAGAGCCCAAACTCGCTCATTCTCATTAATCTGATTTTAATGAACACATTATCTATGTAATTTTTATCGTCAAATTCTGCTAAAGGTATCAGAAACCAGCTTAACCCTTATTTCACAGGCCTAACTCGCCAGTTCGGCAAATTCGGCACGACATATATACATATATGTCGTGCCGAAAAGGTAAAACTGGTAATTAAAGAAAGAACTCATTTAAAATTAAGTGCTTTTTAAAATTTTCTCTTAAACGTTTAAATATATATTTTTTTCATTTATGTTAGTGACAAAATTAAAATTTTTATACCAAAACTTACCTAACCTTATTAAAACAACCGCAGTTTATTTTAACCTAAAAAAAATTTCAATAATTTAATGAAAAACAAAAACAGTGAAATACATTTTTTTTTCCTTAGGTTCAGAAGGATCTTTGCAAAATCATTACATATGCAAATTTTCGCTTGCCCTATTCGGCAAGATGTGTGTTGCTATTTAAAATACTGACGCCTGTGTCCACAAGATTCCCTGTAAAAATTTTGATAAATTTTATTACAATCAAACTGGAAAAATTCTTGATTACAAAAACATTAATTTATAGTTATAAGTGAACAAGATTCTAATGCTCTTTTTAACAATATGAGAGAGTTAACCATTCAATTGATTTTCAAAATACCATGAAAGTTGTATCAAGCAGGTCAATGGTTGCGAAAAATATAATAGAATCAAGATTCACAAAAGAAATAGTTTTAAGTTGACGACAATGTGTGTTTGTGTACCTACCTAATTATGGTTGCAGGGTCGAGACTCAGCTTCTGACCCCGGCCTCTTGGCTGACCGCTACTAGGTCCTTTCTTTCCCTGCTCCATGAGCTTTATCATATCTCGTCTTAAAACTATGTATGGTTTCTGCCTCCACTACATCACTTGTCAGACTATTCCACTTCCTAATAACCCTGTGGCTGAAGAAATACTTCCTAAAATCCTGTTGACTCAGATGAGTCAACAGGATTTTAGGAATTGGGATCTTAATACTTGGGAATTCTTCGCTTGCCTAACCCTTGGGCACGACCTACTTCCACACTGGACAAATGTGACACCACCTACGACTGCTGCACCTCTCCTGCCATACGGTTTATAAGCTGCTTCTCCGCTCATATGCTGTATTCTATTCAAGATTGATGTACTGACCACATCGACTCAAGGTTGAGGGACTGATTACCTCATTCTCCTCCTGTTCTTCACGTTTATCCTTTGTATGGACTGATGAAGCCACTGTGTGGCGAAACGTTTCCTTAATAAAGATACCCAAGAGTTGCACATGTGTCTAATTTAACGGTATATCCCTTGTTGGTGTACGCTTCTGTTTTGTCTTTCCAGTGTCCCTTCTGCCTCTACCGCAAATACTTCCTGAAATCTCATGTTGAGCTCCTCACATACTTCTTGGTCATTTCTTGTGAGCTCTTCCACCTTCTTTCTTCAGCCTGATTACCAGGTTTTTGACTGTTGTCTTCCTCCTGATGTGGCTGTAAAGCAGCTTCGGGTCAGACTTGACTTTCGATGCTATATCTTTTTCGTACTGCCGCTGGGCCTCCCTCCTTATATGTGCATACACGTTTCTGGCTCGTCGACTAATCTCATTATTTTCCTGGGTCCTTTGCCCTCTGTACTTTTTTCTATTTTCTAGCACACTTAGTTTTTGCCTCCCTACACCTTCGGGTAAACCAAGGGGTCATTCTGGTCTTCTCCTTATTTCTGTTACCCATGGGAACAAACCTTTCCTCTACCTCCTTACATTTTGTTGTTATGTAGTCCATCATTTCGTTTACTGGCTTTCCTACTAACTCTCTTTCCCACTGAACCTCTTGCTGGAAAGTCCTCATACATGAGTAGTCCCCCCATTTATAGTTTGGCTTTTCCCTTTCTACTCCTGTTGCTCTCTCTACTTGTAGCTCTACGATGTATTCCAAGCTCTGAATCACGTGGCCGCTAGCTCGAAGGGCTCTCTGATATGTGATGTCCTCGATGTCTGAGCTACTCGGGTTGAACACAAGGTCCAGTCTTGCTGGGTCATCTTCCCCCCCCCCTCTCTCTCTCTCTGATAGTGTCCTTAACTTGCTGGTACATGAGGTTTTCCAGTACCACATCCATCATCTTGGCTCTCCATGTTTCACGACTCCCATGTGGCTGCAGGTTTTCCCAATCAATCTCCCTGTGGTTAAAGTACCCCATGTATGTGTGTGTGTGTGTGTGTGTGTGTGTGTGTGTGTTGTGTGTGTGTGTGTGTGTGTGTGTTATGTGTGTATCAATGAGTGTGTGTTTGTGTATATGTATTTAAATGAAAAATTTATATGGGATGATGAACACAAGACATAATAAATTTAAAGACATTGTTATACATCTACGACAGTTAAGATTATCCAAAGAAAAATTTGTGCTCTTACCTCCTACTAATGGCAGCGACCAGAGGGTTGTACTTGGGTCCTATCAAACCATACACAGTGGACAAGAATCCTTCCCTTGAGTAATAAAAGTCGCATTTTCCTGTAGTGAACATTAATAGACTTATTTTAGCCTACCAGAGGACTTTGCTTCAAGAAATGCCGTTAAACAATGAGGCGAAATCAGTGAAGATAAGTGTAACTTATTTTGTCAGAGATTGACTAAAATTTTGAAAAAACAAATTAGCTTTTAACAACATAATTTAAAATAACATTTAGAAAAAAAACGTAATGGTTCCTACAAGGCATTTTGAGGTACCACATCATTTTGTGGGTTGTCGCCTCACTAATGTACTGTATCACAGGAAAAGTTGTCACCTGTTCTGAGTGAGGTATCAATCTAATATTATTTTTTATACTGATTGATAGATATATTGTTTGCATTGACAATAAAATAAAATGTTTTATTTTAGACAAAGCATAACTGAAAACCTAATTTAAACTAGCGTATTTATTTTTTACCTAATTTCTTCTACGTATAGCATAGACTAGTTTAAATTTATTTAATATTACTTAAGATCAATGATATAGTTTGTCGTTATGTTGAGACTGATTTCCGCTGATTAATTATATATGATCATAATTATATTACGTAATTTTTTTGAGACTTTTGTGTTATGTCATGGCACAGAAAAAACATGATCAAAAATCATCGCCACCATGCCCAGCCCTTCTAGGGCAGGGCAGGTGCCTGAGCCCGAGCTTGCAGCTCACAAAACTGTCCTTCCCATTAGCCCCCTTGGGGCGGAGATGGCAGACCTGAGAGGCCTAGCTTCTCCCTAAGAGCCCCGTGAGGGCGGGGAATGTGGCTAGGCTTGGGGACAGTTGGCCCCAACGATGAGGGTGTACTTGTACCTCCTCCCATGGGAGACTTAGGTCTCAGACTCCCTCGACAGGGAGCCAAGGCCGGGCCACCACTTGGAAAAGGCCGGGAGAATACCGGGAATCAACAAGATGATCAAGAATTATCTTCTGCTTAAGTAATACCTTTTAAAGAAAAGTCCTGAGCCATCAATGTCTTTAGGGAACTCTCGTCTCAAATATTACGTGGCTTCCTGCCCTCACCAGGCGGTCGATGCTGTCCGGGTACTCAGAGAGTCGGTTGAATATTACTCGACCATTTCTCTCAGCGGCAGCCACCTCCGTGAAGATACCAGATGTCGCTTCCTATGGAAAATTTATTAATTTAGTTTTACATTGTTTTCCTTCTTATTCGTAGACAAACAGCGTAAACCAAAACAATAAAGAAAATTCGTGAACCCCTGTGTGAAACACCGTTGATTATATGCATGTCTGCATAAACTCAGGCTCATATAAAAGCATGTCTGAAGGCGAACCAGACAGCAATTAATAACGTACACATACAAACACACATATGAACTCATTCTTACAAGCACACACATACACACAGGATCAGGTAATCAGACCGAGGAAGGAGGGAAGATCGCAAGAAACGACTATGATGTAGGCGAAGAGGTCATTATGAGATTTATGGAAGAAGTTTCAGTGGAGAAAGAAAATACTCCAGGAAGCTGAAATGGTGGGATATACCAACTAGAGGTGGACACAATACTTACAACCAACCAAGGAGTTGAAGAGGCTACTGAGTGAACTAGATACCCCAAAGTCAATGGGACCCGACAACGTCTCTCTGTGGGTCATGAGAGAGGGAGCAGAGGTGCTGTGTGTTCCACTAAGAACAATCTTCAACACATCTACCGAAACAGGGCGACTACATGAGGTGTTGAAAATAGCAAATGTAGTCCCAATTTTTAAAACAGGAGACAGACACGTAGCATTAAGGTACAGAAAAATGTCACTAACATGAATAGCATGCAAAGTCATGGAGAAGATTATTAGGAGAAGAGTGGTAGCGAACTTAGAATGGAATAAGCTAGTACACGACAACTAGCACAGTTTTATGGAAGGGAAATGCTGTGTCACGAACGTACTAGAGTTTTGCGACAAGGTGACGGAAGTAAGACAAGAGAGAGGGAAGGGGGAGGGGGTAGATTGCATTTCTTGGACTGTAAGAAGCTTTCGACGCAGTTTCACACAGGAGATTAGTGCAAAAGCTGGAGGGGAAAGCAGGTACAAGAAGAAAGCTCTCCAATGAATCAGAGAATTCCTGAAAGGAAGGCAACAACGTGTCATGGTACTGGACGAGGTGTCAGAGTGGGC